ACTTTTGTGGTCGGCGTTGATCAGTTGTTGTATGTGTCCGTCGACCACCCAGGTCAACGACCATCAGCAGACTTTACAAAGTCAGCGCCCCTCAGGTCGACGCCCCGAAGTCGCCGTCCTCCCGGGTCAACCTCACAAGATCCACCACCCGTACTCGGCGTCCTCCAAAGTCGGCGCCACCTCCACGTCGACGTCGGCGCCCTCCAAGGTCGGCGCCCTTCCCCTCGTCGACCACCGGGTTGAAGTCGGCCGCCGGCGTCCCAAAGTCGGTGGCGTTGCAGTGGCCCCGTGCAGGTCGACCGAGTTTGTTGACCTGTGCGCCTAAGTCGGCGGTGCCCACTACAGCTAGTCGGCTATGCTCCCCGCACACCCGACAATGAAGTCGGCTCCGCCCAAGCAAGGACGGGGCCAACACACAGCTCCAGTTAACACTCCCCTGCTGCGTTCATGCTTGGGCCTCCAAACCACACCAGCACTACTCAGATGATAGCTCGTCGGCGTGCACACAACATAGAGCACGCCGATCACCGCACCAGTCATTCAAGATGGCATGGCACCTACTGCTGCACGTCGTCAGCACCGTCGCTGACGTTGGCCGGACGCACTTGGCCGATTGTGACGGAGAACCGCCAAATTGTGCAGCGCCTTTGTTAGGAAGTCGGTCGGCTGCTCGGTGGTCGGGATGTACTTCAGCGTGAACATCCCATGCTTCACCATGTGCTGTAGCCAGGCATATTGCCGCTCCATATGCTTGAGTTTCCCTAGCAGCCCCAAGCCCTCGGCAACCGCGATGGCCAACTCGTTGTCCACCGATAAACAATCAGTGTTTCGGAACTCTGCAAGAAGGAAGAGAAGTCGGCGTCCATCCTTGCCAGCCTCAGTGGTCGCCACGTACTCCGACTCGATCAATCACATCATCGCGCACTTGATGCGCTAGCTCGACCACGAGATGGCAGCCCCTCCAAAGACGAACACGTAGCCGCCCGTGCCCGTCCGGTTCTATTTGCTGACCAGCTCAAGTGTCTCTGGTCTACTGCCAAACTCCTCTGAAGATTAGAACGAGAGAATGAATGAACTAACACAAAGTTGGGTAAAAGTAGAAAACCCTAGGAAACTGTACCCCATAGTGTCTACCCCATCATAGCCTACACAAGCTATAAAATATGAGTTTGACACACCCCCATAGGCAAAGTGGGGGAGAACAAGAGGTCACAAGACCAGTCAAGCAAAGCAAAGCAACCTTAGGGTGGATCACAAAGTCACCATACAATCCGAGCACAAGAGCAAGGCCAAAAGGTCAGTTCACATGCAAGATCATATATAAAGGCAAACAAGCAAGTGCAGGTATAGAAAGATCACAGTACAAGCAAGGTCAAGAAGTAAGCAAGTGAGGCCAAGTAGGCACAAGACCTAACATCGTGCAGAAGCGCTGATGATCACAAGGCGAAAGGGCCTTGGTGGAGATATCAGCAGTGTTGGCCTCAAAGGCCACGTAGGCGAGGCGGATCTGACCACGCTGCTGCAGCTCACGAGCAAGGAAGTAGCGGAGAGCAATGTGCTTCGTTTTGTGCTCCAGTCTGTGCTCTCGACACAAGGCCAGCATGGCCTTGTTGTCTACGTACAGAACTGAAGGAGAACGAGGCGGCTCTCCTAGGTCAGTCAGCAGGTAGGTGAGCCAACGTAGCTCCTGTGCAGCCATACCCTTGCGTAGATCTCAGCCTCACAGCTGGAGCTGAGAACAGAAGACGAGCGGGTAGACTGCCACGAAACAGAGCCGGAGCCAAGGCTGAAGGTGTAACCCTATGACGACCGCTGCAAAGCCTGGTCATCAGCCCAAGAAGCGTCAGCGTGACCTGTAAGGACCACTCGACGTCGCCCTCCAAGCACTAGCCCCATGCCCGACGTACTGCACACGTAGCGCAAGGTCAGGTCGTGTGCAGGTCATCAGGTACATGAGGCAGCCAACAAGCTCTGGGTACGGGCCACGCGGCTCTACCGACTCATCCGAAGGCAGAGCTGAGAGCGAGTGGCGAGTAGACAGAGGAGTGGCCTGAGGCGAGGAGTACGTAAAGTCGAAGCGCTGCAGGACCTGCTGCACCAAGTGTGACTGAGTCAGGGTAATGGTGATCTGCAAGCCAACGTAGCTGCGCAGTTCACCCGGGTCTGTGCACGTGTGTCTCTTCTGCAGCTCAGACTTCACGTGGGCGAGTCCAGCAGTGTTAGAAGTAGCAAAGACCAAGTCGTTGATATAAACGAGGATGTAGAACGGCGGCAAATAAGTGCCGGTGCATAGAAACAGCGATGGGTTGGCAGTAGAAGGAGCAAACCCAAGAGCCGCATGTGTAGTCCTCAGTGTGTCGTGCCACTCACGGGGTGCCTGGCGGAGACCGTAGACTGGCCGCCGGAGGCTCCACTGGGTACCAGAGCGAAACGACCCAATGAAGCCAGGTGGGCAGCAAAGCCAGATCTCCTCGTGCAGGCTGCCCTCCAAGAAAGGTGTACTGAAGTCAAGAGAGTGAAGCTCGTAGTCGCACTGAGCGGCTATGTGCAGCAGCACCCAAAGAGTGGTCATCTTCGGGGTGGGAGAGAAGGTCTGAAAGTAGTCAACTCCCTTCCGCTCATTGAAGCCTCGAGCCACGTAACGCGCCTTGAAGACAGGCGGAGGACCCGGCGGCCGCTTCACCCTGAAGATCCACATGCCACTGACGATGTTCGCCCCAGGTGGGGAAACCTCGTCAACGTAGGTGCCTGTGGACTTCCAGGAAGCCATCTCTGCGTCCATGGCCAAGTGCCACTGAGAGGAGTAGGGACCCTCGATCGCCTCAGCGTACGATCGAGGAGTCGGGATGTCTGGTGCATCCGGGTCTCCCTCAAAGGCAATCAGCGTGGACACGAGATGGGGCAAAGCAGCAGCAAAGCACTGGAACTCCTCGTGCCTGTCCTCAAAGACGTCCGTGCTAAGAGCACACTTACACCCGACGGACGGAGGACAGACAGATTCAGACCAAGCAACGAGACTGGCAGCGTAGTCTAGCCGACAGCGAGCAGTGAAGTCGACAAGCTCAGCAACTAGGGCAAACGCAGCAGTGGACTCAAAGGAAGGGTCAGTGACAACAGTAGCAAGGAGACGCGTGACTGAAGGACGAGCAGCACGAAGGGAGTCAGACTCCGGGTCAGCAAGAGTAGGAAGAGAGGACTCTGGAGGAGACGGTAACGGGACACGCAGAGGAGCAGTGGAAGGACGCAGCGCCATCTGGTGTGTGCTGGGGACCGCAGGAGGACGCGGACGCGCAGTACGACCACTAGTGCGAGCAGCACGAACAGGCAACGCAGGATGAGACGCAGGCTCACGACGCTCAGCAGGACCTTTAGTAGGACCAGTGTAGGGAGAAGGAGCAGGTAGAGGGGAGGCGGGCTGTAACTGTGACTGCGACTGGACACGCTGTGGATACTCTAAGGGAGGAGCAGGACCAGGAGAGGGCAGGAGACCAAGAACCTGCTCCAGGAGCGGAACGAGGTACGCCCTCGGCCGCGCAGCGCCTCCAGAACCAGCAAGGACGGCACCAGTACCCCCAGCGGCAGCACCAGCGCCAGGAGCACCTCCAGCTCCAACAGCGCCAACTCCAGCACCCTCAAAAGCAGCAGCGCTCTCAGCACCGCCAGCGCCAACACCCCTAGCCGCTCCAGCTCCAACAGCACCAACTCCAGTAGGACCGCCAGCTCCAGCAGCCTCAGCAGCACCCCCAGACGCACCAGCGCCACTAGAAATACCAGCGCCAACACCCCCAGCAGCTCTAGCTCCAGCAGCACTAGCACCGCCAGCATTTCTAGCAGGACCAACTCCGGTAGCACCAGCAGCACTCCCAGTCTCAGCAGCACGTCTCCAGCAGCGGGCAAACCACTCGCGCAGCTCCTATGGAGAGAGTGGCTCTTGCCTCGAAGAAGCACCACCGGCGGCCACACGAGCAGAGCTAGCGCCCCCAGGCCCGGCACCCCTTGGCTTCGCACCTCCAGGCTCCGCACCCCCAGGCTCCGCAGCCCCAGACCCAGCAACCCTAGGCTCAGCACCCCCAGACTCAGCTCCCCTAGACTCCGCACCCCTAGGCTCAGCACCCCCAGTCTCAGCACCCCCAGACCCGGCACCGGCAGGCTCAGCACCTCTAGCAGCACCCGAGTCAATAGTGTCTACCTGGGACACACCTGACAGGGCAGGACCTTGAGGGGGGAGGGGGTCTACCAGGGGAGGACCTGGCGCAAGGAAGAGCGGCGGCAGGGGGAGGGGGGGGCGCAGTGCGGTAGGGGAAGAGACGGTAGTAAGGCACGGACTCGTCAATGGTGACGTCCTGGGAGGACAGAACACGGCGCGAGGTGGGGTGGTAAAACTGCCACACAGGCGCGTCACGGGGGAAGCCAAGGAAGATGCAGGGAACAGCCCGGGGGGACAGCTTGTGCGCAGACAAGTCGTGGACAAATGCCCGAGATCCCCAGACCCGAAACGCAGACGCATCGCCAACCTTCCTGGTCCACCGCAAGGCATGGGAGGTCTCTGGGAAGGAGACCTGGGGCTCAAGATTGAGCTGATGCGCAGCGTACTGAACCGCAAACGTCCCCATAAAATAGGGGGCAGCCGCATGCATCATGGACGTACGAGCAACGTCCATGACCATGCCAATGCGGCGCTCAGCAATCCCATTTTGCTGTGAAGTCACCCTTAACAGTAGTAGTCACAGAATACGTGGCAGCAAGGATAGCATCATAGTCAAGATCAAAGATGGCAACTCCCGCCCTAGACAGATCTCCCCCACGAGGGATCTCCGACGCCTCAGGGAATTGGCAACGCCACGCGTCCATCAGGTGACCGAAGCAGCGCTGGGTGGAGTGCGGGCCCCCGCACAGCTCACCAGCTCGGTCGCAGGTACGGAGAACGTAAATGCATTGACCAAAACCCCCACCGCGCTGACGCGTAGTGTACCACTCACGAACCTGCTGAGGGGACAGGGTCACACCACTCCGCTTCTGCTGGCGCGGACCACCACCTGAGCCACTCCTCTGCGCAGAGTCGTGACCCGCTCCACCACCGCCGCCGCCGTCACCGCCGCCTCCGCCGCCTCCTCCACCTCCGCCTCCTCCGCCACCTCCGCCGCCTCCGCTCCCTCCGCGACTTCCGCCGCCTCCTCCGCCTCCACTGCTGCCGCTGCCGCCGCCACCCCCAGAACCACTCCCACCACCATCCCCACTCCCTCCACTACCTCCACCACCACCTCCACTGCCCCCGCCAGCCCCTCCAGCGCCCTTGCCCCCCTTGCCCTTGCCGGTGTGGCGTCTCCCGCTCGGGGCAGACGCAGCGCCGACCGACTCGAAACTAACGAGGTCGGCCGCAGCAACAGAAGCAACAGAGGGCAAGAGGGGGGAGGGAGAACACCCCTCAAAGACGGGGGTGCGAGGGTCACCACGAGAGGCTCCTACAGCGACTATGCTCTTCTCCGCTGCTAGGAGGGCCTTCTCGAGGAGGTCAACGGTGAGCGTGGTGGGGCAAACTGAGAGGAAGTGGTCCCTGACTACGCGGAGAGAGTCAGGGAGCCGGGTGACTATGTAGTAGAGGGTGATGTAGATGGGGGGGGGGGGGGTTCTTGGCGAAGAACTCAGCAGGAAGCGCAGCGCGGTAGCGAGTGTCACTACTGCGGAGGTGCGTAATGAGGTCAGCGACTGTGGGAAAGGCAGCAAGGTCAGGGAAGAGGTACAGTAGCATGAGGCGGCTCAGTGCAGCAGTGGGAGGGGAAGAGTAGCGTGCAACTACAGCGTCGTACAAGGTCTGAGCACTCTTGTACTGGCTAATGTGTGCACGCTCGGTGGTCGGTAAGTGGCGGCGCACAGCAAGGCGAGCAGCAGCATCGCGCGTGGCCCACTGTGAGCGAACAGTGGCGTCAGCATCAGCAGCAGGGGCAGGAGAGGCACCAGAAGTGAGGTCAAACAGGGAGAGACCGTCTTCCCTATCGCACTGTAGGAAAAGCTGCAGATCATCTACCCTAACCTCAAAGTCAACTGCCCGACCCTCAGCGTCAAAGATGAGAACACTAGGGGTGGCCATGACAGCAGTAGATAGGCAGTGAGTACAGTGGGGCAGGGCAGTGCAGTGGCAGGTAAGTGAGGCGGACCCGGGCAGGCCGACAGGCGGCGGCTCCTCGGCTGCAATGCGGCTCGGCGGCTCAGCGGCTCGGCGGCGCATTTTTACCACGCCGCCTCGCGCCTTAACCTCGCCTCTCAGGACTTCACCTTTGACGAGTCGGTACCCTTCTACCGCCTCTTCCCCTACCGCACTGCCCCGCTCCCTCCCCCGCCTCTCTTCCTCGCACCACGTGCTGCTGCAGTAGACCCCCTCCCCCCTCAGGGTGCCGCTCCCTCAGGTGTGTCTTAGGTAGACCTGGTTGAGCCTGTCGAGGTAGCTGTCGACTCTCGTCCTCCTTGGGGTGCTGAGCCTGAGTGTGCGGAGCCTGGGGTTGCAGAGACTGGGGGTGCTGAGCCTGTGGGTGCAGAGTCTGGGGGTGCAGATTCTGGGGGTACTGAGCCTGGGGGTGCGGAGTCTGGGGGTGCTGAGCCTAGGAGTACGGAGCCTGCTGGTGCTGAGCCTGGGAGTGCTACGCCTGGAGGAGCTCTCTCCTCCCAGCAGCTGCGTGAGTGGTACTTACTGTACTGCAGCCTCAGGAGAGGTGCCTCTGGAGCTAGGGGTACTGCTGGAGCTGGTGCTCATGCTTCCTCGCCTAGGCAGGAGCTGCCCTCTCCCCAGCGTCTTCGTGAGTGGTACACACGGCGCTGCAGTCTCAGGAGTGGCGCTCCTAGTGTCGCGGACCCTGCTACTGGTGCTACGGACCCTGGAGTTGGAGCTGTTGCTGGTGCTGCGGACCCAGGCGTTGGAGCTGCTGCTCGTGCTGAGGACCCGGGCATTGGAGCTGCTGCTGGTGCTGAGGACCCGGGCGTTGGAGCTGCTGCTGGTGCTGCAGACCCGGGCGTTGGAGCTGCTGCTGGTGCTGCATACCCGGGCATTGGAGCTGCTGCTGGTGCTGCGGACCCGGGCGTTGGAGCTGCTACTAGTGCTGCAGACCCGGGCGTTGGAGGTGTTGGGGGTGCTGCTGAAGCTGCTGGAGGTTCTAGTGCTATCTCTGCTGCTGCAGGGGGCACCTCACGGCCACGGCCGTACTTTGTTCCACTCCTTCAGCAGGTTCTTGTTCAGTCACCCCCGCCTTGCCCACCTCCCTCTGTAGAGTGTCCTCCGCCTGTCCAGTGGCAGTCACAGCTACCCCCTGCCTCGCCACTTCCTGGTCCTTCTCCCTACACTGGTCCGACAGGCGGTCTTACAGAGCGTCATGAGCCTGATTCTCGTCCTGTGTCACCAGTGTCTTGTCCTGTGTCACCTGTTCGTGCTGCTCGCACTGGTCGCCGTGTTCCGCGTGAGCGTCCTCCACCTATGCCTCGCACACACTATATGACTCTGCGTCCTTCCACTTCTCCACAGCGTGTCCCTCTGCCGTCTCCTCATGCGTCCTCTCTTCCTTTTCTTGCTGACCCGGAGTGTGACTCTCTTCGTGCTGCTTGTCCTACTGTCACGCGTCTCCTGGCCACTGTTGTCAATGACCCTTCCTTTGAGTCTGCTGTTGCGTCTGCCCTAGTTGCTGAGCTTGTCGACTTTGCGGCTCACTGTCGTCTAGACTACACCGCGAGTCTTGTTGCTGAGTCTGACTCTGTATGTCCTCCGTCCGTCGGGGGTGAGTGTTCTCTAGGCACGGACGTCCTTGAGGACACACACGAGGACCTTGAGTGTCTTGCAGCCGCTGGGCCTCATCTCGTGTCCATGCCGATTGCCCCTGAGGGAGACCCGGATGCTCCAGAAATCCCGACCCCGCGCTCTTACGCTGAGGCGATCGCGGGTGAGTACTCCTCTCAGTGGCAATCAGCCATGGATGCAGAGATGGCATCCTGGAAGTCCACTGGCACCTACGTCGACGATGTTCCCCCTCCTGCGGCGAACATCGTCAATGGCGTGTGGATTTTCAGGGTGAAGCAGCCGTCGGGTTCTCCGCCTGTCTTCAAGGCTCGTTACGTTGCTCGAGGCTTCAGTCAGCGAGAGGGAGTAGACTTCTTTCAGACCTTCTCCCCCACCCCGAAGATGACCACTCTTCAGGTGCTACTGCACGTTGCTGCTCACCGTTACTACGAGCTTCACTCTCTTGACTTCAGCACAACTTTCTTGTATGGCAGCCTGCACGAGGAGATCTGGCTGCGCTGCCCTCCTGGCTTCACTGGGTCATTTCCTCTTGGTACCAAGTGGAGCCTCCGGCGGCCGGTCTACGGTCTCCGCCAGGCGCCACGTCAATGGCACGACACACTAAGGACTACTTTTGCGGCACCTAGGTTCACGCCTTCTACTGCTGACGCGTCGCTGTTTCTGCGCGCCGGCACTTCACTGCCACCGTTCTACATCCTCGTGTACGTCGACGACTTGGTCTTTGCCACTGCTGACTCCGAGGCTCTCGCCCACGTGAAGTCGGAGCTGCAGAAGAGACACACGTGCACAGACCTGGGTGAACTGCGCAGCTACCTTGGCTTGCAGATCACCCGGGACAGAGCACGCCGCACCATCACACTGACTCAGTCACACATGGTGCAGCAGGTCCTTCAGCGCTTCGGCTTCACCTGGTCCTCAGCAAAGGCCACTCCTCTGGCTATAGGTCACTAGCTCTAAGCTCTGCCTTTGGATGAGTCCGTAGAGCCGAGTGGTCCTTACCAAGAGCTAGTTGGTTGCCTGATGTACCTGATGACTTGCACTCGTCCTGACCTAGCATACCCTCTTGGCCTTCTTGCCCGCTATGTGGCTCCTGGCAGGCACCGAAAGGTGCACTGGGATGCTGCAAAGAGGGTATTGCGCTACTTGTGCACTACATCGGGTGTGGGGCTCGTGCTTGGAGGAGGGAGCCCAGTTGTTCTCACTGGGCACTCAGACGCTTCTTGGGTTGACGACGAGGCTACTCAGCGGTCGCCACAGGGTTACGCCTTTAGCCTTCGCTCTGGCTCAGTCTCTTGGGGTTCTACGCGTTCGTCTTCAGTTCTCAGCTCCAGTTGTGAGGCTGAGATCTACGCCACAGCCATGGCTGCACAGGAGTTACGCTGGTTCACCTACCTGCTGACCGACCTTGGAGAGCGGCCTAGTTCTCCTCCAGTGCTATACGTCAACAACAAGGCTGCCATTGCCTTGTGTGAGGAGAACAGACTGGAGCACAGAACGAAGCACATCGCTCTCTGTTACTTCCTGGCTCGAGAGCTGCAGCAGCGCGGTCAGCTTCGTCTGCGTTACGTGGCCACTCAGGCCAACACCGCTGATATATTCACCAAGGCACTTCAGCTTGGTGATCATCAGCGCTTCTGCACTATGCTGGGGCTTGTGCCTACTTTTCCTCACTTGCTGTAGGCTTTGCCTGTACTGTGATCTTTATATATATACACTTGTCTGTTTGCTCGCTAGGTTGAGATCACCTTGTTGTTTGTGTTGCATATATGCCTCTGCATGTGAGCTGGCCCTGTGGCCCTTTACTTGTGCTCAGAGTGTGTGGTGACGTTGTGATCCACCCTGAGCTTGCTTGCCTTTCTTGACGGGTCTTGTGACCCCTTGCTCTCCCCCACTTTGCCAATGGGGGTGTGTCAAACATTATATATGTGTTATTGCTGTGTAGGCTATAGTGGGTTAGCCTTTAGGGGGTATACAACTCTAGGGTTTCATACTTGTACTCTAATGTTTCATAGTTCAATCACTTCTTGTTTCTGACAGGCGAAACGCTGTTAGGGCGTGGAATATCCTTATGAACAAGATGTTGGTCGCCCAGCAGCGACGATAACTACTGCTTGCGACTCTCGCCGCTAATCTTCGACGAAACGTGACGGAAATTGGAAGAAGAGCGCAAGATCCACTGTTTTTGCTCTTTAATAGCCCCACTTTTCTTAAAGCAGCAGTATACATTTGGCAGGGCCAGTGCCAAAAGTTTATAAATTGTACATGGTGGTTACCGAATTATAAGCCCACCCAACCTCTCTCTCGAGAAACAACGAGCTGCCCCCAACTCCCTCCAGCTCACTCGAATGTGAATAGTTTATAGATGGCAAAAGTATACTCTTTCGTTTCACCCCGCAGCAGATCACTCCAGTAGCATTCTTAGTGTGCACTACTAGAATAATATGACCTACACCATTGAAGTGCGTCTTTTATGCTTATGTCATACGCCGAAGATTGTTTGAGCCAGCGTTGTTGAATACGCATTCATTTGTTTGGTCGCCACAGAGTCGCCACTTTCAGTAGATATCTCGTTGCCTCCCTAAGCAGCCTAGAGTCGACCTCCGTTGCATAATCCGCTCTTTGCAAATCACCTCCGCATATAGCCAACAGTAGCGGCCTCGTCCCATTGCAACTTTCTGCCTCGTAGGCTCGCCTCAACGCTCGTCGCGGCGTCGCAACGCCGTGTCAGATTTGTATGACATAGCTGTTGTAGGCTATAGTGGGGTAGCACATATGGGGTACAGCTTTCTAGGGTTGTATTTGTACCCAACTTTCACTTAGTCATTTCATTCTCGTTTCAGTCTTCTCATGGTATCGAGCATGTTCCCTAGTGGGAACTGTGCCTAGGGCCCACCAAGTCGAAACTTTTTTTTCCTGCCCGGAGCGCGCTCAGCCCGAGTCGCGCTCCTCTCTCTCATCTCGTCGAGCCACCCTAGCGACTGCGTCGCGCCGCCCTAGCGGCCCCGTCGCCCTAGCGGCACTATCGCCCTCGCGGCCCCTTCGCCTAGCCCTACGGCCCCGTCGCCCAGCCCTACGGCCCCGGCGCCGCCCTGTCCCGGCCCCGCCACCCTTCGCTGCGGCCCCCGCCGCCCTTCACTGCGGGCCCGCCGCCCTTCACTGCGGCCCCGCCGCCCTGCTCTGCGGCCCCGCCGCCCTTCGCTGCGGCCCCGCCACCCTTCGCTGCGGCCCCGCCGCCCTTCGCTGCGACCCCGCCGCCCTTCTCTGCGGCCCCGCCGCCCTTCGCTGCGGCCCCGCCGCCTCTCTCGCTA